CGGCGCACAGGAAGGCGGGCTCCGAGGAGTGCGTGAGCAGGTGCTTGGCCAGGTGCGAGCTCTGGCGGAAGCGGTGGCTGCACAGGTGGCAGGCGTGGGGGCGCTCGTCTGTGTGCGTGCGCATGTGCAGCTTGAGGATGGAGCTGCGGCCGAAGCTCTTCCCGCAGCACAGGCACAGGAAGGAGCGTGAGCCCGGGTGCGAGTGTAGCTGGTGCTTCTTCAGGCGGGAGAGCTGCGGGAAGTTTGCCCCGCACTCCGTGCAGATGACCTGCATTTTGGCCTCTGACTCGGAGGTGCCCTCTACCACTGTGACTTCCAAAATGTCACTGCTGCCAAGAGGGGTCCCTCCTCCACTGGTGCTGTTCGCTCCGTGCCCGGCTGTCTGAGCAAGGGGCTCTCCTGCCACCTCAGGGATGTCTGCCTGGGACTCTGCTGAGATGACAGTCGGCCAGGCAGCCTCTTTGGGCTCTTCCAGTTTAAATTCCTCCTTGTCTGGAATTCTGCTTTCAAATCCTGGGAAAGAAACAAGCACAGAAACGTCAGTCCTCTTTGGAGGGGCTCTGGGAATCTCCAAAACTGGTCTGGCCAACAAATGTAGGAAATCCTAGATCCTCCAAAGCTGGTTGGCAGGAAGAGGCTGGGGATCAAATGAAAATGTCTTTTCTATACCACTTTTCTTTCTTTTGTTCAATATTAGTAAAATACACATAACAAAATTTATTACAATACCAGTTTAAAACACACATTTTGGGCCCATTTAGCAAATTCACAATGTCGTGCGGCTATGACCACTACTTCGAAATGGAAACCTAATACCCATAGGCAGGTCACTCTCTTGACAACTATTTTGTATTTTGCTTTTGTTTTTGCGGTGCTACAGTGTTTGTTTGTTTGTTTGTTTAAGACAGAGTCTTGCTTGGCCTCAAACTTATGGTGATCTCCTGCCTGAGCCTCCTGAGTTCTGGGATTACAGGAATGCACCACCACACCCCATGGGTACTAGGGACTGAATCTAGGTCTTGGTACATGTTAGACAAGTGCTGAACCACTGAGCTGTACCTCTTGCCCTATACTTGTTTTTGGTTTGTTTGTTTGTTTTTAAGACAAAAGTCTCAATGGCCACATTGCTCATGTTGGCCGCGAACTCCTACACTCAGCCTCCTGAGTAACTGGGTGGCACTGAGTATAGCATGTACCACCATACCCAGCTTCTGACTTTCTTTTTATAGCACTGGGGATTAAAATCAGGACCTTCACACTGGACTACATCCCCAGGACTTTTTAATGAGACAGGGTCTCACTAAGTTGCCCAGGCTGGCCTCAAACTTGCAGTCCTCCTGCCTCAGCTTCCTAGAGTGCTGGAATGTGGTGGCTATGCCACCATACCGGTTTTAAAAGCTGTTTTAAAAGCTCAAAATTAACAGGCTGATGGTTAGACCGGACACAAGGAGCTATAAGGAAAAAGAAAGATAGGACTTAGCTCAGTGGTTCCAATGCCTGCTTTGTAAGCGCAAGGTCCCGAGTTCGATCTCCGGTACAAAAAAAAAAAAAAGATAGATGCTGGGGATGGTAGTGTATGCCTGTAATCCCAGCACTCTCAGAGGCTAGATCAAAAATATGAGAGCAAACCTAGGCAGTTCAGTGACTTAGTGAGATCTTGTCTTGAAATAAAAATTAAGAAGAGCCAGGTATGGTGGCACATACCCACAATCTCAGCATTCAGGAGGCTGAGGCAAGAAGATTGCTGTGAGTCAGGCCAATGTGGGCTACATAGTGATGCCTGTAATCCCAGCACTCTCAGAGGCTAGATCAAAAATATGAGAGCAAACCTAGGCAGTTCAGTGACTTAGTGAGATCTTGTCTTGAAATAAAAATTAAGAAGAGCCAGGTATGGTGGCACATACCCACAATCTCAGCATTCAGGAGGCTGAGGCAAGAAGATTGCTGTGAGTCAGGCCAATGTGGGCTACATAGTGAGTTCATGGCCAGCCTGAACTATGTAGCAAGACCTTGTCTCAAAAAAACCAAAAAATAGGTAAGCAAATAAATAAAAATTAGGCCTGGGATTAGCTCAGTGGTACCATACATGCCTTGTAAGCACAAGGTCCTGAGTTTGATTCCCCAGTACCAAAAAGAAACAAACAAATAAATAAACAGATTAAAAAGGGCTGAATGCTGATCATGGCAGTACATGCCTGTAAACCCAGCATCTCAGCACTGGGGAAGCTGAGGCAGGAGGTTCATTATGAGCTCCAGCCCAGCCTGAGCTACATACTAAGTTCTAGGCCAGCCTGCTGGACAAGTGAGACTCTGTCTCCAAATAAAATAAAACAAACAGGGCTGGAGATGTAGCTCAGCAGCATGGTGCCTGCCTGGCAAGCACAAGGTCCTGAGTTCAATCCCTGGTAACAAACAAAGAAACAAAAAAACTACAAGAAAAAGGGCTGGAAATGAAGCTTAGTGTAAAGGCCCTGTGTGTGCGCTTGTGAGGCAGGCAGTGGCTAAACCCCTGGCCCTGGGTTCAATTCTTAGTACAACCACCATCACCATCAAAAAAAAAAAAATCCCCTTTCAACAAGGCCCATAACCTAGTAGGCTCCGAAGCTGTGGGCAAAATCCTTTGGAATACAATATAATGGTGTAAAGGTGTCAAAGGGCTGCTTACCTTGAGGGTGCATAGGCCAGTTCTTCTTAGCTGGGACGTCCTCAAAAGTCAGGCTTTCCTGTAATAAGCAGCAGGGGCTTGGGGTGAACAGTTGAGGAATGAGGTATTGGGGGCCTGACTGGATAAATTAAAGACAAAGCAGCTGGCACAGTGGCACAAGCCTGGAATCCTAGCACTTGGAAGGCTGAGGCAGGAGGATCACAAGTTACCTGGGCAACTTAGTGAGAACCTGTCTCAAAATGAAAAGATGGTAGGGGTGGGGATACAGGTCAGTGTGAAAAACCTTGGGTTTAATCCCTGATAGCAAAGGCTGAGGAAGCAGCACAGGGCAGGGAAAGTTCCTGGGCTTGAGAAGGACCTCAAGAGGGTGAGCAGGGGTGAGCCTAGCTTACCAGCACAGCAGCCAGCTCCTGATCACGGGAATACTCCTCAGGCCACAGTGACGGGCCCTGGAGAGCTAACAGCATGGGGGGAGGGAGAAAGCGCTGTTAAAAGACAGCTGTGCCTACCAAGTGGCTGAAGGACATGTCCTCCATCATGCCAGCCCATGAAGCCATCCCAGCTCTCTCCCATCCTGGGCCCTACTGCCCTCATCCACACATCTACACGTCCCCCTGTCTGGGCATCAGCTCCTCACTGCTTTCTGGCAGGGCCTGGAGTGTCCCTTGGGGTCCTGGGCTCAGTAGCTGCCGGGAACTGGGGGTAGGTGTCCATTCTGTGGGTTCAGCAGGTCTGACAGGCCATGGCTGGGCTGGGGGCACTTCCTTCAACAGCGGCGGGGATGTGGGCTCTTCGGAGGGTACTTCCTTTTTGGGGCTGTAACTGGAGATCTGGGAAGGGCCCCCCTGTTCCTCCAAGATGATGTCTGTACGGGGACAATTCTTGCCGGCACTGGAACTAAAATCCTGTTGAAAATACATCCGTATTAGGTGACAGGCCTCCACAGGAATGGGACAAAGAGGGGAGATTCACACAGCCAGGAGAGTAAGGAGAGTCAGGTTTTCAGAGATTTCTTCTGGGGGTGATCAGTCCCTCTCCACACCCCTCTCACCAGTGGCCCCACGTGGCCGGTGTCCCGGGGCACACCCTCCAGCAGTAGCACCACCTCCTCTCCATCCCGGAGCTGTTGCCCCTGCAGCCGGCCCAGCAGGTGCTGGGGCAACACACTCAGAAACTGCTCCAGCACCAGCAGCTCCAGGATCTGCTCCTTGGTGTGCAGAGCTGGCTGCAGCCAGTGGCCACAGAGCTCCCGCAGCCGGTTCAGGGATGCCCGTGGCCCCATGTCCTCTTTATACTGGAAGCATCTGAACAGCTGGTGGGCCACCTCCGGCCGAGGCCTGGCCTCTGGCCGTCTGATGCCTGCCAGGCCAGTAGCCTCCTCCTCCTCCAGCTTGACAGCTCCGAGCTGCTCTTGCTCCGGGGCAGCTGGCACTGACTCCGCCAGCATCCTTCACTGCAGTGCACTCCTCCTGCAGCTGGGCCCACTCAGGTTCCTCTCCTTGGCTCCTTCCACACCTGTGGAGCTAAAGACCATGGGTGAGGATCTGCTGCAGGGAAGCTGACCCAACCTGGATCATCAAGATACTCAGATGTTCGTCAGATGGCACATGCCTATAATCCCAGAACTCCTCAAACCCAGCTCGGGCCTCTTAACGACTTAGTAACATCCTGAAAACAAACAAACAAAAAAACAACAAAAGGCCAGCAATGTAACTCAATAACAGTCTTGGGTTTAAATACTCCCGTATCAAACAAGCTTCCCCAAAGGAATCCTTTCTCCTACAGTCAAGTCTCAGCTAGAACAGTGCAGCAAGGGCAGAGAAATAATACAGTTCTGTGATCATCCCATACTTTAGCACTTAAGGCTTTACATCTCGTTGCCCTAGTGACTGAGCATCCTCCAGAGAGGATCAGCCTCCGCCTTTTGCTCCTTCCCATGCACATAGCTCTATGGAATCCAATCCAGTCCTGTCCATAGGGCATGGCAGGAAATAAGAAACAAATTAAACCACCACTTGAACAAGCAAGTCAACAATGTCCCAAAAAAGATTTTAGCCAACAGAATTGGGTTCTTCAACCTGACATAGAAATAAGTGCCTGTAGGGGGCGCTGTTCTGCGAGAGACTAAAGAGCTGTGCCTATCAAATGTAAACCCTGATTAGATCCAGTTGGATTTTTTTCCCCCCGGGAATCAGGGATTGAACTCAGAACCTTGCTCTTGTGAGACAGGCACAGTACCATTGAGCTAAATCCCCGGGCCTGGTTTGGTTTTTTTTGAGACGGTCTTGCTATGTATTCCAGGCCGGCCTCAAAATCTCGACAACTGATACTTCTGCCTCAGCCTCTCAAGTACTGGGATGACAGGAATGCACCACCAGGCCTTGCTATTTTGTATATACCTTATTTTTTTTGTTGTTGTTACTGGGATCGAAATCTGGCCCTTGCACTCGTGAGGCAGGCGACGGAGTCACTGAGCCAAATCTCTGGCCCGCATATGTATATACTTTAAAAAGGCTCTTACAAAAAAAAAAAAAAAAAA